TTTAGACACGGTTTAGGTAGAAAAAATGTTGCTCTATTAATTACACCTATTGATTTCGAGATTTTACGAGCTACTTGAGAAATGTGCGGTTTCCAAGACAGATGCTGCCGCCTTTGTTAGTTCTCTGTTTAACCTGTGCCTATTTAACTCTTTTCCGTTTAGGGACTCCCGCCTTTGGAAGGATCCGTTGGACACATGTGTTTGAAAATACAATTGGTTATGATATCCTTGGAAATCCCATAAAAAAGAAATTTGACAGGTTTGAAAACAATTATTGATTGTTTTATGGCTGTCGAACAGATAACATTGCATTCAGCGAAGCCAACAATCAGATAATGATTTTAAAATAAACCAGTGGAAAAGTTATACAAACTTGTAAATAATAACCTAAATTCTCAAGTTAACTCCAATTTTAGTGACTGTTTAGCTTTTTATTCGTATTATTTATTTATTTATTTATTTATTTTTAATTAACTCCCTTCTCTATCTGTATAATGTCTTCTTTGTCTTCTTTGCGCAACGCGTGAAATTGTTCCTTTTCCTGGTGATTGCCTGCATTATTATTTACCAGATATTCGCAAACGTCTACTGAACTAATTTTGGCCAACGCTAGCTGCTGGTTGTGAAGAATAAGCCGGGGGAGCTGAGCCAATCAGAAATTAAACGGAGAAATATACAAAAATAAAATAGGCGATATTACTGAAACTATGCAATTTACAAAGGCAAAACAATTTGAAAAGAGTTAAACTAAAGATAGCCTTCAACTTCATTCTAAGTTTTCTTAGTTCAAAGTTGTATATAGTTACGCTACATTATAAGGTTTCTTACGTTGATCCCTTTAAATTTTGTTGAATATTTGCGTGGATAGACCTCAATTTTTGTCTCCTTCAAGGTTCCTGTGGTACGGTATTTAAATTACTGATGAATTAAATGTACCATACAGTGACACGGGCTACAATCTTGAAAACAAGTACATTTTTAATTTCTTTAAACAGGTGTTTGACTAATATTGGTGGAATGGAAGCTGTCCCTTTCGCCAGAGAATGCTCAGATGACTTAAACCAACAATGGAAACTGTTCTCTGATAACACATTGCGGCCCAAAAATGACATTAACAAGTGCTTGTTTCTGATGGAGTCTGGAGAGGGCAATTTCAGTCCGTCTGATGACTTTAAATTACTCCCATGCAGCTCAAGAAACGGCAACAAACAATTTGTATTTGAATACCTGACACAGCAGGAGGCAAGCGAACCAAAACTGTTCACTTACTTCAAGTTGAAAGTTAAAAATAACGGTGTTGGCAGGAACGGTTGTCGTGGCCGGAATGTTTATTTAGTGTACAGAGGCATTGAAGCCGGATGGGAAGTTGGGGGCCCGGAGTTTGAAGACTTGTCCCCCAGCTTGCTTTCCTGTCCCTGCCCCGGTGGCAGCACCGGTCAGGATGTTCATAATTGTCTCGGCAATGATTTCATTCCCGATCCCAAGCCTGGTTGGTTTAAATTTGAACCAGTATCAGAATAAAAAAGAAACAATGGGAAATAACCCGGACAATAAAATTTACTACCGTATTGTTATTTATTATTTATCAATATTTATTTATGAAATTGTTAAAACAGGTCTAGTTTACTGTATTTGGGAACAATGTTACAGACTTCCATAGATACATATTAATTGCATGATAATAGAAATTATTTCTTAGTTATCTATGGTGTTGAAAGGACCTGATGAATTTTTACCGTGTTTTGAAAGTAAAGAATTGACTGATTGATTGAACTCTTGTTCTTTTCGTCTTCTTCCTCTGATTTTTCTATTGTTTCCCTCACTATCGTTATGAACATAATATAACAATAATGATAATAATACTGATAATGATAATGACTACAGCTCGGTAACTGATTTACTTGTAAAAGGGAACTCTAAATTCTGAAAGTCGTTAGTTAATACGCTGTGTTTGGAGGGAAGTGCAACGGGGTACCTAAGAGCGGGCGGCTAGCCTGCCAGACCACAAACTTTTTTCGGCCTTTGTCTGTGAAAGAAAAGCCAAAGCTAGCGAGCAGCGGACCAGACGGAAAACTATGAACATAAAATAAAGAAGATAGATTTAGCTACCCATCGATTTCGTCGTTTTTACAGCTAAAGCCAACGGAAGCCAACGCCCTCACCATCTCGCCCCACCCCCGCCCTTTTAATACTGCTCCCAGTCTCTCTCGGGTATTCTGCAGGAGTGTGTCTGTAAACAGAACAGCCGCCGAAAGCCTCCGCGTGCTGTAGCTTGAATCAGGAGTGCAGGAGCTCTTAAAAAGCCAAAGGTTAAGAGGTTAGTCAAAGATATATGGCGCTTTACAGCACGTAGAGGTCTTGAACATGATTAAGAAGTGATTGCAGAGTGCTTTGAGGCCTTACTTAACGCCTAACATGTTGTGTGGTTTCTTTGTCACACCAAGGTCACGGTGTTTTCATAGCTTAATAATTTCGCTTACATAACCTTCTTTGTATCACTGTTACCTCTTTGTATCTGCCTAACTATCTATCTTTCTTTAATGTTAAACTGTATAGACTTGTCAACGGCAAGTGAGGCGCAATTTTCCTTCTGTAAATCAGTGGCGCTCAAACCCCACCTGGCTTTGGACGGATTTGCATACTTAATTTTGATCATAGGTCTTTTATCTTTAATATTTATTCTCATTACTTATTGCGTAGATGTTGCAAAGGTTGATTTATTTTAGTTTTGCAATAGAGCAATGCAGCATTAATAGATTGCATGGGAATCTTGTTAAACTGAGCATACTGTTGTTCGTAAGGTAAGGTAGACGAGGTACATTGAAATATTAGTTTGCAGCAGGCCGGCAGTGCGTGGGCGGGAACTCACGCGAAATTGTCATGGGAATATTTAATTCAATTTTCAACGGTTCTCTTAACATCATTCACGAAAATTTTGCTTACCCAGTCTGTAGCTGAAGTGCAAGGATTAAGTAAAGAATTATTAGATTTGAAGTGGCATCCAACATAATTATTGTTTAAAACCCTCTTTCAGGGCTCAAATATATAACTGAGCCAGTCTATGGACAATTTAGTGAGCATACAGAACAAAAAGGTAGAATGAGGAGGACGGTTGTGTGTCATGAACGTGAGAGGGCTATAACGTGCATGTTATTTGGTGATCTTCACTTCGAATTTCTTTGTTTTGGTCTTTTACAAAAAGAGGTTTGACGAAAATTTTTCAAACATAAATTTATTATTGTCATGCTTGTCACACAAGGTTTGCCATCGATCTTCTTTCCTCTGCCATCTGCATGATAATTGCTTAAGGTCACTATTAAATGTCAACCAGAATGGTAACTTGAGCAGTCAAACACTTCTGTTGTCAGTTTTATATGTTGACCAGTTACCCACACTCTCACCCTTGAAGAAAGTCAAATGATTCTCAGTTTTTGTCTCGTTGTAAAAATGCAATTAATATTACATTCACAAGTACTTTGTGCAAAGAAAATCATTTTTACAGCTTGCCATTCGGACAAACTGAAGCTAGCATTATTTTACTGGCCCAGACGTCATTTCAACTAGCCTCGAAAGCTTTTTGACAAGCAGAATTGATTTCACAGTTCTTCTGTTATTCAAATTCCTCAAAAAACATCACTTGCCCGCTGGGCATGTTATAAACAAAATTCTCTAGCCCGATAGCAAAATCCACTAGCCATGGGCTACCAGACACTACTTTCTTTGCACTCTGTAAGTAGGAAATAGATAAGTGTTGCCATGATTTTTACGTTGCCGGCCTATATTTGAGGGGGTGATGGGTATAGTGCAAAATAGAGAGTCTCCAGATCTGAGATCTCCAGAGGTTGGCATCTCTGCTTACTATCAAAACAGAGATCAGAGGCTGTCTTTGGTTAAGTTTTAAACCATTTTGTCCATTAAGCAACTTTTCAAACTTTAATATTTTAGGGACAACTAGACCTGTCACATAAGACTTGATTCACAAAAATTTGTTTTGGCTGGTCAGCAAGTCTGGCCACTGTCTGAAAATTATTTTGAGCCCTTCTCCAAACTAAAATTCAAAATTTTGATTTGGGTCCTGTTAGGAAGTAATGCCAAAGAGTTTTCATTTGAATAATCATATAACAGGATTTCATCTACAGACTTGAAAGTACTGCATTTCTGTTATTTTACTATTGCCGTTATTTTTATGGGGTGATATCACATATCTGGATAGCTGTCAGTATTTAATTAGCTAGGAGATGGGCATCTCACAGTAATCTACCTTCTGCCATGTTTAATCATCCTTCTTTTATAGATCAAAGTATTGCAAAGTAATAATCCCTTGTTCTTACCTCCCTCGTGTAACATACTAAAATAATAAAAATATTATATTTGTCCTAAAATTATATTTCCACACCGAAAAAACTGCTAAAATTGCCTTATAGTTGAAAATCTATTGAAAAGAAATTATTGAATTTATTGAAGAATTTCCAGGAGCTTTTTACATCATTTGTATAAAATCTAATACCCAATCTTTAAAATGCTCTCCGTGACAAAAACAACTGGCTGAAACAACCCCAGGGGGGGTACTCGGGATTTCAAGTGACGGGGATGATGGAATGGAGCCAAAAGTCAAGACCCAAAAAAATCCCTGGACCAAAAATTGATCCCAAAAAAATCCCATGCCAATTTTGTGGCCCTTAAAAGTTCCAGAAAGGGGTAATGCTATAACACAAAGAAAAACATTGGAAATTGAACACTCGTGTTTGTTTATTCATCATACCATCTGAATATATCCTTTCCCTCATCTGATTCTTTTTAATACCCCAAAAATATCCCTACTCAAATCAAGCTACCCAAGCCAAATTTTTGTACCCAAAAAAATCCCGGAATCGAAAATTTCAAACCCAAAGGAATCCTTCGATCATCCCCGTCACTTGAAATCCTGAGTACCACCCCTGGGGAAACAACATGGAAGTTATGGAACATTTCTTATTCATTATCAGTGTATTTTTTTGCCTAGGTAACAGATTATTATTTAACTGCCATCTAAAGGAAGAGCTTTATTGGTGATGTTAGGTTGCAATGACAGAACAAGCCAAAAAAAATCTGCGGGTTGTTGCTGTGTCTGCACATGATCCTAATGTGGATGATGACCTTGAAGCAGCAGAAGCTGTATTTACAGCCCCTGATATATCCTCTCAGCTGCCTGTAAAACGAGGAGACAAGTTTGAGGTGTTAGGCAGAGATGTTGACTGGTGGCTTTATGTAAAGAATGTTGAAAATGAAGAGAAAGGTTACATCCCCAGCACATGTGTGGTGCCATTAAAGGATGATTTAACTAATGAAGAGTAGGTGACATTTGATACAAATATTTTAATTTATTGCAATAATTATTTTAAACTGATAAAATTAAAATGTATCTTTAATGTTACTGCACTCAATAAAGCAGTCTAGCAAGTATTTGTGGGTTCTAGGGATGATGAGTTAGGACACAATGTTGAATTGACAGCTGACTTGGTCAACTCAAGTGTTGAACTGAAATTCTTTCCTGAGGCTCCTGCTGAAAAGGATGCAGTAAATAGGGTAAGTTCAAGTTTCCAGTCCTTAATTTGACATTATCTTTCGTGTGCGATTTGCATGAGCAATGCGCCAGTTTATTGAAAATTTGCATACTCAGTGTATTTGTTTGCTTTTAGTACCTTTCTTTTTGGTACTTTCAGGAATGTGGCTATGATAGAATTGAGTTGTAAGCTACAGGTTCTAGTGCAAGCCTCTTATAACTCTGAATTCTATTGTGCCAAAGTAACAAAAAACGCCAGAGTATATTATGCATTATAGATTGAATACTATAGTATTTTTGGAATTTCGACATTGCAAGAGCAGTTCTTGCCAAGAGCAAAAGATGGTGGGAATGTTAGGTTTACATGAAGCTCTACCCACATGACAATTGGAAAGTATCATAATTTGTATTTTTCAAAGTGGCCTACTGCAATAAGGGGTAATGTTAAATACTACACCTGTCAGACAACCCTCAAATTCACCTAATACTTTATGCTATCACTATATTGTACTCAATAGAGAGGTAGGACATGACCACACTCATAACCTTTAAACATTTATTTGTTATTTTTGATAAGTAAACATAAAATTATGCAAATACCTTGTATATGTACTGTCTTCAGATAGTGAAAGTTATCTAAGTTCAATACTAGTAGTATAAGATAGATCAGTATTTTGAAATCACACAACTTGTGTTATCTTAAAATAGAGTGACTCCCCTGAAGTAAAGGCCAACATCTTTTCAAAACTGACTTTTTGGTGGCTGACTGGGTGAGTTAAATTTATTTTCTTGGAAATTATCCCTAAACAGCTCTTAACCCTTACTTCTATTCCCACCAACTATTGGTGGGAATAGAAGTAAGTTAGCTGACAGCTATTGAACAGTCACATGACTGTTAATTGTACAGTTGTACTTCATGTAAGTGACAAGCCAAAATATGAAGATAGTCATGGTTACTTATGGCAGGTGGTTGCTTTAATACAATATGAAATCAAACTCTCTTTCAAGAAGAGGTCCAGAGACATCTTTTTGGAAAAGAATTTATTACATATAATTTCAAAGTTGCTAATTGTGTATTAAGTTCCATTTTGTTGCTAAGAGGTCTTTGCATACTCTGAATAGTATAGCTACATACGTCATACATAGAGATCAGATCATGTGTTAAGTGCTCGTTTACAAGAGGTTATACCCAATGGGAAAATTATAAAACCTACACCCTAAAAAGTGTCTGTGTTTGATGCTTATATATAAGAGGTGGTCATTTACAAGAGGTATTCGTTGTAGGACTTTGGCAGGGAAAATTTTGGTATCTTGGATACAGTGAGCTGTAGATTGTTGCTTATGGGTGGTGCAGGTGACTTACAAGAGGTGTTTGTGTTTGATTGTATTTGATTTGGAATTTNCTAGTAGTATAAGATAGATCAGTATTTTGAAATCACACAACTTGTGTTATCTTAAAATAGAGTGACTCCCCTGAAGTAAAGGCCAACATCTTTTCAAAACTGACTTTTTGGTGGCTGACTGGGTGAGTTAAATTTATTTTCTTGGAAATTATCCCTAAACAGCTCTTAACCCTTACTTCTATTCCCACCAACTATTGGTGGGAATAGAAGTAAGTTAGCTGACAGCTATTGAACAGTCACATGACTGTTAATTGTACAGTTGTACTTCATGTAAGTGACAAGCCAAAATATGAAGATAGTCATGGTTACTTATGGCAGGTGGTTGCTTTAATACAATATGAAATCAAACTCTCTTTCAAGAAGAGGTCCAGAGACATCTTTTTGGAAAAGAATTTATTACATATAATTTCAAAGTTGCTAATTGTGTATTAAGTTCCATTTTGTTGCTAAGAGGTCTTTGCATACTCTGAATAGTATAGCTACATACGTCATACATAGAGATCAGATCATGTGTTAAGTGCTCGTTTACAAGAGGTTATACCCAATGGGAAAATTATAAAACCTACACCCTAAAAAGTGTCTGTGTTTGATGCTTATATATAAGAGGTGGTCATTTACAAGAGGTATTCGTTGTAGGACTTTGGCAGGGAAAATTTTGGTATCTTGGATACAGTGAGCTGTAGATTGTTGCTTATGGGTGGTGCAGGTGACTTACAAGAGGTGTTTGTGTTTGATTGTATTTGATTTGGAATTTTGTTTCGACATGATGTTGCAACAAAAATGATATTACAATGTCATTAATGGTTGCAGCTAAGTCAACAAGAAAGTACTGAGGTTTGTCAAGACAATCAATTTGATCAATTGTTTCTGTTAATGTCTTCTCTTATCCTCAGATTAATCATCAAAGGTTATAAAAATCCCCTGGTTGACAGTGATTTGTGGGCTTTAGGAAAAAATAACAAGTCTGCAACCATTGTTCCCAAGTTCATGGAGAAGTGGGCCAAGGAGGAAAAGAGATGCACTATGTAAGTTACACACAATTTTTGCCACATATTCCTTCTTATAATTATTTTGGAAAACGTCTGTTACACATTTTGATGCATTTTGTAGTGGTAAAAGGTGCCCCATGGAGGAACAACAAGAGCTTGAGACAGCAAAGTTGAAAGGAGAAGAAGAAAATGATGATCTAGCTGTAGTGTATAATGACAAGGATAAGAAACAGAAAAAAAAGAAAAAAGAGAAGGAAAAAAAAGCTTCGTTACTGCGAGCCATGGCGTACTTGTTTGGGCCACAGTTCCTGATTGGCATGCTCATAAAACTTAGTTATGATGTGATCCAGTTTGCTCAACCACAATTGGTTAAGTGAGTATGCTGTTGGGTCACTTTATAGTTTTAATTTAAGAGCTACATTAAAGTGGCTGTTACATTCCTTATCACCATAATTCTCCATTGATAAGAGAAAAGTGGATTTAGATTTTTGGAAAAATTATGCAGAATGAGGGTGTTAGGGTAAGGGTTAACATTAGAGTTTAGGGTTAAAAAATGTACTTTGTACATTTGATGTGGCATTGTTAGGCTCATCAAACCTTCATTATGTGAGGTTTTTCTTGGCTGTCACCATCAAATAGTTTTCATAGCCACAACCACCATCCTGGCATCACCATCATCACCTTGGAAATATCATCATAATTCCACTGAGCTCATCTTTACTGTTATTTTACAGTTTGTTGATTTCATATACAGCCAACAAAAGTGACACTGAAGAATGGAAAGGATATGTCTATGCCGTTGCCATGTTCCTTGTGGCAGTAACAATGTCTGTTATAGTCCATCAGTACTGGCAGATTGTTTTTGTCCTTGGAATGAGAATACGAACTGCAATCATTGGGATGGTCTATGCTAAGGTATATATATCACCTTTCCTTTTAACTGCTAAGACATAAACTAAATGCTGATGCTTCCAAATAAGTTACTCAACCTTTGTGTTCATTCTCTCCAAAGGCACTTGCCTTAAACAACAGTGCTCGAAAAGAATCCACCGCAGGTGAAATGGTGAATCTGATGTCAGTGGATGCTCAACGACTCATGGATCTCACAACTTACATCAATGTTCTGTGGTCTTCACCTCTAGTTATTTTGATAACATTGTATTTTCTGTTTGATGTGATGGGTCCCTCCACTTTTGCTGGTTTTGCTGTGTTGCTCTTGCTTATTCCGGTCAACCTTGTTATCACTAGAATTGCAAGAAAATTACAGGCAAGTATTAACTTATACTTAAGATGCACGTACATGTAGTGTATAATTCTCATATTTTTAGCAAACATATAGTTAATTAGCTCCTTGCTTCTTTATAACCTTCTTGCCAATTATTTCGGAGGAATTTTGGTTCAATTATTATCAATTCCAGGTAGCTAAGGGTAAATCGAACAAGCCATAATAATTATGATATACCTATTTAAGTTGGGAAGTGACAGCAGTTGTATATTTCTGGATGACAAAGTGTTGCTCTAAAAAATGTTGAGAGATAAAAGGGACAGATGATCAGCATCAAGTTTCAAATGCTTTAAGGATACCATGGCTAATGCCTTTTAGTTCCGATATCTCAAAAGTAAACCAGCTGTTGTCAATCACTGCAATGCTTCCCTTTGTAACTTTGTAACTTTATTTGATTTACCACAAAATACAAATAACGATAAAACAAGACAGTTACACAAAAGCAAATGAAAGTGGCGAGGAAGCCCAAAAAGAAACCATGAGGCTTATAGACATTGGGCTCCCTCAGAGTAAAAATAAAGTTAACAGTAACGGTAAGGCCAGGATCGAAAGCAAAANAAAAATAAAGGGACTTTGCGTGATGGGTGTGTATGTAAAAGTTTTTCTTTTTTTCCTTTGGGGAAAAAAAAGGGGGGAAAAAAATTGCGTAAATAAATCAAAAAAAGAAACAACATGGGGGGGAAGGTATTTTTTTTTTAAAAAATACTGTAAATTTTGCCCTTTTTTTTTTTTTTTTTTTCCCCCCCCCCCCCCCTCCCCCCCCCCCCCCCCCCTTGGTATACCTCCAGGGATTTGCAATTTTTTTCTTTTCCGCTAGTCTATTCCCCACCCCGAGCTCCTGATCAACTCAGCTCCTGGTCATTTGCTTTTTTTCGGGTATGTCTTTGAGAGTGGTTTCGGTACAATAGCAAAACAAGACATTTTCAGAACTGTTATAAACGTTTTCTAGAGTTTATTGAGAGAGGGATAATACATGTTTGTAGTTAAAACATGAACAATACATTTGAAAATGAAAAGAAAGAAAAACCTCTTAAACTCATCCTTAATAGAACACTTTATAAGAACACTGCCGCAGAAATGTAGCTAAGGAAAAGATGAGCAGGCTTTTTTAGATGTCAAGCTGGCTTTTGAACTGAACTGCATCTCTCAACTTCCCAGGCTAAGCCTTTGTTTTTGTTTGCAATTTTAGCGGGTGGTAAGCTTTTTTTTTGGGCGATGAAATTAGCCGGCAGCCAGCTGCTCTTAGCGACATCCCTGCTGACTGGACTGGATCTCAGTTTATTGATATATATTAAAAGCCTTGTATCCGTTTTCATATAAAGTCTATTTAAGTTGTCTTCTTATGAAACTAGGCTGAAGAAATATTTCTTTCATGGAGCTTAATGTGTGCTTTGAGCGAGTGGACGTGCACTTTGAGCAAGTAGAGTTTGGTTGAAATTAACTTATAATTTTGTCTCGAAAAAGCGTACAACTCAAAAGTTAAAGCAATGCAACATCAGGATGATTCATTGATGAAAGAACTTCAAACTTTGCATGACGAATTCAGCCGACTTCAAGAGTCTTTAAGATCACACGAGGCTGAAAAAAGCAAACATGGTGGCCAAAGTCAACCTGGACCGGATCCTGAAACTACCAAGACATTACAGTTCGTTAGTGGTGAGAACGATGACTTGACTGGTTTCTGTAATGCGGCGAAGAAAAATCTTGCTGCATTTAAGAACTGCCTCGAGTCTCTTATTGTTCAAGTTAGCGAAATGGTGGGAGGACTGGATGCCCCAGCAAGATACAGTTACAGCTTTAATGTCAAGCTTTGGGCATTCCAGAGATTGATCGGGAAGGAGTCATGTCACATTGCTGGGAAATCACTGAAGTGGACCCGACAGCCGTTGGTCTTGATGGGCAATTCCTAGATTAAGCACTTGAGAACGGACTATATGAAGAACTGCTTTTCAAGAATTGGTGCAAAAAAATGGAATAGTATTCCTGACAGTGATTGTGCTCTACCTAAATATAAATTTAAGAATACCCTACAGAGTCGGCTACTGATATCCCAACAGGAGGATACTTATGTTGGCATGTGAACTTTAATTGGCGTATTAAGTAAATATCAAATTTTCAGTTTAATTTCATTCATACCTTGTTTCATTAACCTATTTTGAAATATATGTATTCTCTGTCTTATTAATTTAATATGTTGATGTTCATGTATCTGTTTAACGTTATTGTTATGTTTCATCCCCATTATTGTTACTTTTCTGACTTTTCCTTCCTGCCTCGATTGGCTGTAGGATACATTGCAGGCAAGGATTAATTATGGCATGTTGCCAAAGTGTTTTTAATAAACTTGAACTTGGTCTCTATTGCAAAAAAAATATATATTTGAGTACGCACTCTGTGCACATTCATTTGAAATTTTAAAACATCCCTTCAAACACAGACTTAAATTCTGATAGTTTATTTCTCTCCAACCACTCTCCCGCATTTTCCCTTATGTAATCTTGAGTTCCACAGCTTCTTGCAAACTGCGTGAGAAATAACATGTACTTTGCAAAATCAAAAGGAAGTTCTTTTTGATTTGCCCCACCCCCCTACCCCTGAGACAGGACCGCTTCAAACATTTCCCCACCCCCAGGTCCTAAGGGCTGGATGTGCCCCAGGGGTTGCCCGGGAGGGGGATGGTAACAGGTCAAATTGTCCATGCATAACTTGTTTGTGATATGTCGCTCAGTTATGAGTAAAACACGTCATTATCAAATTACTGAAGTGTATTGTAATAGTTTTGACTGGTGCATGCCGGTTAACCCATGTGTAATGTGTGATTGGCTAGCCTTGGTTGGTGATGGTTTAATATGTAGTTATTTATTGATGACAGCATGTATCAATGTATTTTTTAGTGGTCAGCACTTCTTAGATAATAGGTTTATTTTTATTTCAGGTTCTTAAGTTATATGCATGGGAAAAGTCTTTTTTGAGTCAGGTGTCTCAAATCCGTAAAAAAGAATTACATCAACTCAAGAATGCTGCATATTTAAATGCCTCTTTTGCCTTCTCCTTCACCTGTGCTCCTTTCATGGTAAGAATCATGAACATTAGACCACAAGTGACGGAACAAAACGTACGTTCCATTATGTATATGTTACAAATCAAATTTCAATTCAGTTGAAATATTTTAACCTGGGTTTATTGTCAATTTCCTTGGTCTCCCGGCCCTAATTATTTGTGATTTTCAGGAATGTTTGATATAACACACTTATATAAGTTTAACATTTCCTTTTTCTTCAGTTTCATATAGAAATAGGCAAAAACAAAATGTGAGAGTCACACAATCATTATAATTCTTTCTGTGTGGTTATTCAGTCCAGTGATACAATCGTACTTTCCATTCATAAAACAGTTTCCTTCACAAATACAGTGTGCCAAGACTCTCTACTCAATTAAATTGCTGTTTTTTTCCTCAGGTTGCACTTGCGACATTTGCCATTTATGTTTTAACTGGAAATGAGTTGACAGCCAACAAAGCGTTTGTGGCCCTTGCTTTGTTCAACATCCTAAGATATCCAATCACTTTTTTACCTAATGTCATTGTTAGTACCATACAGGTCAGTATCAGACTATAATGAACACATGTTTCTACTGATATTATTTCACAGTGACAAATTGCAAAAACCTTTGGCGTTATACTCATACGAATACCTTCCGCCCGATTGCAACAACCAAAGTCCTTTCCTAGTTATATCGGTTTTTTTTTTCTGCTTCTTTTCAGGGTCAAGTATCAATCAATCGGCTGACAGACTTTCTCAATCTGCCAGAACTGGATCCAAATAATGTCGAAAAGACAATGCCTGAACACAGTGAGTTCTTTATGAGCTTTAGATTGTTCTTGTTGCTACTTACAGTAATACTTGGGAAGTAACTGTCCAGATGTGAAAATGAAATAATCAGCATATCACGAGCGTGGGACAAAGAAAAAGTCTGAGTCCCCGACAGGAATCGAACTTGTGACCTGCCATACACCGGAGGACGCTCTATCCACTTGAGCTACCGAGAACTCATGGAGAGCGAGGCCATACACTAGGTTCATATTTGACACGCGCCCTGCATACTGCTAGGATCAGCAATGTCGATGTTGCACTAAGTGGTAAAAGAAATGGAAGATGGTAAATTTTAAGCTCGGTGAAACAAATGTGAAAATGAAATAATTCATGCTCCCACTATTCTGGGACCACAAACGGTAACATTCATGATAAAATTTCAGGGGTATCCAACAATGATTTCGTCCTAAATACGTTGAAAACACCTTTTGGCTATCCAGAGTACTTGTATAGATCTGTAGAAATACATTCTGAGCGGTGCTAAAAAATTGTATCTGTTTGGTCAGCCTAAGACTTTGAGTCTTTTCGAAATTGTACATGAATGGAATGGTCATCTAGAAATGTGTAGCTGTCCTCAAGCAATAGAAAATTCTAGGCAATGTTGGCTTCTCCGAACAGATATTTTACAGGAAACAGTCGTTGGGTGCCCCTGAAATGTATGTATTACAAATGAAGCAAGTGAAAAAGAATTTTAACGCAAAACTGTTTTCATGACATTAGTCAGTACACAAGCTATTCATGTGGAGGATGGATCTTTCAGTTGGGATATTGATGAAAAGCCAACCTTGCAGAAGTAAGCACCTTATCAGGGACAATTCACTGATTTTCCACTCGTGCATGTGTGAGTTTTAAGCATTTGTTGGCTCCGTCTGCTGATGTTTGTTTATGTTTTTTTCTTGTAGCATTAATGTGAACATTCCAAGCGGTTCACTTGTAGCAGTTGTTGGTCAAGTTGGTTGTGGGAAGTCCACTCTTTTATCGGCTTTCCTGGGTGAAACTGAAAAAATGGCAGGAAAGGTTTACGTTAAGGTGAGCTTGGTTGTTCTAGTATAAAAAAACATTCCTTTCTTAAATTATTCTTTTCTTAAATTAAGCCCGTCTATAAAAGCCTTTCGGATAATTTTGTAAATACTTCTTAGTTAAGTTTAAAAACATTGTAATCAGTAATTAAGTAACATTATAATTAGTATTAGGTTAAGTGTTGTAATTAGTTATCATAAATAAAGTAATATAATCATTGTTCCTAAAAAGCCCCTTTGGAGAGGTAACAATAAAGTATGTATGCAAGTATGTATGTATTCCTGGAGACTGGTGATTATTAAATTTTCCCGTTCAATTCTGAACAGAAAACGTAACTTGACATATAGTGTACTATTATGAAAAAGAGTATTTTATAGGGTTTAAAACACCACTGAGGCGCAGCCCAAAACTGCGAGTTTTTTGAACGGCTTAAAGTCTATTCTCTACTGGCTCAATAAACGCTGTTGTTGTTGCTTTTTTAAAATTTTAACGAGAAAATTGGAGCAAAAAAACTCAGCCATGTTTTATTAGATTTAAAGACACTCTATTTTCTTCTTGAATTGTCAGTAAATTTATTTTCAATTATATTTTCTTGTGAATTCTCACGGTAGTATCCTATGCTGTATATTGCTTTTTGTAATGTGGTGTCTGCTGTAGGGTTCTGTGGCTTATGTACCACAACAAGCTTGGATTCAGAATGCCACTGTCCGTGATAACGTTCTGTTTGGAAGAAGTTTTGACCCCAAGCGTTACTGTAAGACAATCAGCTCCTGTGCATTGAGAACTGACTTGGATATTTTACCAGGAGGAGATATGACAGAGATTGGAGAAAAGGTAGTGAATTGTATTGTGCTTCCTCGGGTTAGATGGTATAACTAGCCAGTGGTATCATACGTACTGGTTTTACAATTTTAACATTACCAAAGTAACAAGGACAAACCAAAGTGAAAATAGCTACGTAACAAATGTGGTACTATAAATGATGCATGGCATGAGGCGCTTACAAGACAAGTTTATTTGACTGAAACAAATCTGGAGTTGAAAAAATCTTCCTTTGTGAACAGCTTCTTAATCTGCTATCACAGATCAGCGGCAAAAATGTTAGCAACGCTACAACTAGTAGTTCCAATAATAAAATAATAAATAATAATAATAAAATATTTATATAGCGCTTATACTTTCCAATTCTGTTCACGTGTTTGTTGTCTTCCTGTTTGTGTTTGTTTTGCCAAAGTGAATTTGTTTTCTTTAATATTTAGGGAATCAACCTTAGCGGAGGGCAGAAACAGCGGATTAGCTTGGCAAGAGCGGTGTATTTTGATGCTGATGTTTATCTGTTGGATGATCCACTCAGCGCTGTTGATTCACATGTGGGGAAACACATCTTTGATAAAGTTATTGGACCAAGAGGAAAGCTGAGGAAGAAGGTTGTGTTTTGTTATAGTTTGATAAACACATTATAGAATTTTTTTAATAATAATTGACGAAAATTTATATACTTTAGAGATCTTAGTTTAAAATTTTTTGTTGTTTTACAGACTCGAGTATTTGTCACCCATGGAGTCGGTTTCCTTCCTCAGGTGGATCAGATTATAGTGTTACAAAACGGAAGAATATCGGAGGTAAGGACTCTGGAGAAACTGAATGGTAGCAATGTCTCAGACTACTACTTTGTAGTTCACAAGTGACGAAAGTGTAATTTCGTATTCAAATTCATCGACCTTGACAATCGAATAGAATTCAAGTTACCCTTTCCAACCAACGTTCTTTTGATTTAGGTGGGGACGTACTCCGAGCTTCTCCAAAATGAGGGAGCCTTTTCAGAGTTCCTGAAGACATTTGCTTCCGAGCAGAATACCGAGGATAATGGTATGTGCAACTGAGACGTGAATGATTGGCGGTTGATGCGTTTTTTTTAATGTTTTTGGTCGCTTCCTGTCGTTGAATTTCTGGAGGGCCTCTAACAACTCCTTAGCATTTTGACAACTCACATCTAAGTTTTAGAAGCAGATTTCATGTTTAAAAATAATGAGGTACATTCCTATTCAATAACTTGTTCCTAGACACTGTTTTTAGGGATTACCCTTCCATACAAACAGGAAATGTCACAGCGTGTTGGTGTTCAATGCCTGCACAGAGATGTAAAGCACCAGCCGGGTGGGTATTCTGTGGCACCGGATTTCATCCTGATTTTCTGAACGTCCAGTCCAAAAGAGTTTATTTTAAAAAAGGTTAAGATGGATTAAATGGAACTCATTAGCTTGAACCCAATCCACTTCCTTTAAACAGCTGAACCACCACTGCCCAGACAAGAGTCGGTGTTGGAAGAAATTCCTGAGGCTGTAGAAGAAGTGGATTTCAGGCCGCGTGGAGAGACGATCCTGGAGAGGCAGGATAGTCAGATTGAAATACCATTCCGCAGAAAACGAGCTGACAGTTTGTCTATTGTAACTGTTGACACCGCTGACCTGGATTGTCAGTTCACCAGACCAGATGAGCACGAGGAGGACAAGATTATCGCAGAGGAAAAGGCAAAAACTGGCAGGGTAGGTTTGTAATTTACAACCTTGGTGAGGCATTGAACAGAACAGTATCGAGGGAGTAGCCAACGGGATGCCTAAAAGTTAGGCAGGTACAAGTCTGGGTGTCCTGTACTCCTACATTGTTATCATATACCTCGTCAGTTTTTTGCCGGGCACATTTCACATAAGTGTTTGTTAAATTTGCCGACAGTTACTTTTTGTCGCCTAGGTGAAACTGGCTGTATTCTGGGCCTACGCCAAGTCTGTCAAAGTCTACCTAGCTGTCGGAATAGTCCTCTTTATCGTCCTTGCAGAAATTGCCTCTGTTGCGTCTGGGATCTGGTTGGCAAGTTGGAGCTCGGCAAATGTGACATCTGATGCCGAACGTGACATGTACTTGGGTGTGTATGGTGGCCTTGGTGTAACGCAAGCAACTTGTGTACTTATATCATCCTTATGCCTTGCGGTGGGGTCTAAAATCGCATCACGTTACCTTCATGAAAACCTTCTCGAGCACGTCATGCACTCACCCATGTCGTTTTTCGAGACCACTCCCCTTGGAAGGATCGTGAACCGCTTCTCTAAGGACATCAGTACAATTGACGATCAGGTTCCTGTAACATTGGCGACCTTCATTAGGACGCTCAGTACTGTTATTGGCACCATAATCGCCATCAGTTTTGCCACTCCGATCTTTTTGGTAGTGATCGTACCTCTTGGAATTCTCTATGTTTTCATTCAGGTAATTTTTCATAGTATAGACCTTAAGATTGAGGTTTATCGGCAGTTCCCGCAAACCGCTAACGTCTAGAAGTCACTTGAACAGTGTCTTGCCACCAGATTTGTGGTTTTGAGGTTCATGTATGTACGACAGACCACGCTCCGCTCTAGAGGTAGGTGAATTACCACAAGGTTTTTTGCAGCCTAAGGCATCACAATCCCCCGTTTGAGAGAATATACTACTTTTTAGAACTCTTTTGATAATGAATTATCGAATTCTTTTTCTTCGAAACGTAAATTTGAAAACAATTTCTCAACTAAAATAGAAGTGAACGAATGGATGAAAACAAACATGGCCCCCGCGAGCTATCACCCACGAACTTAAGTCCCAAATATGGGCAAAAGGTTAACGTGAAACCGCAAACCACGGTTTGCCGTTTGCAGTAAGATGGCCAAACATCGACTTTAAGGTCTCTATTGTCCCATATTTCCGTGTGCTCCTTGAATATTAGTAATAATTTTTCTTTGTCTTACTCTTTGTGATCAGAAGCTCATTTGTGTTTTATTATCCGAACCTCCTTGAAATATGATTCAAATATGAGGAGCAGTTCAGTCATTTTTTGCGGAGGAGTAATTATAATGTTTGAAATGTCAAACACCGTGTTGCTAATGGCTGCTAAATTTTCAGAGAGTGTATGTTTCCACATCGCGGCAGCTGAAGAGAATTGAGTCAGTGAGCAGATCACCAATTTACAATAACTTCTTTGAGACAATCAACGGAGCTTCCACCATCCGGGCATTTGGCCAGCAACAACGCCTCATCCGGGATAATTACTACAGGGTTGACGAAAATCACGTGGCTTACTATCCTGGAGTTTCAGCAAACAGGTGACGTTACATGTTAATAAAGTAGTTAGAATGTTTTTGAAACCAAACACAAACAAACCTGTTAGTCAATCCCTGGTTAATCTATGTAACATCACTGAGTAGTTTCCAATCAGCCTTTCTAGTCCATAAGATTATTTGACATTGTTAGTTTCATTTAATAAAGTGCATTTCGACTTGCAGATAGACGTTAAACAAACGAAGATGTGTATGTGTTTTCTTCCTGTCCTGTTTTAGGTGGCTTGCTGTGCGTCTTGAGCTGATCGGGAACTTGATCGTCCTCTTTGCTGCCTTGTTTGCTGTTATCAGCCGTGACTCGATAGAAAGCGGCCTTGTTGGACTATCCATCACTTATGCTTTACAGGTTTGTTATGTGCTGTTTTAGACTTAAAAGGCGTGCGGCGGATTGACTCTTTATGAATGTTCCGTCATTTATTAAAGGAAGCATCAACACGACTGCTGCTGGGCTGTTGGGTTTTTGGTTTGATTTTTGTTCAGCCATGAATAACAAACCTGGAAGGGCCTTTAAATGATTACATTAAATACTAAGGTAGAATACTAAGAAAAAATGTTTAGAAAATTTAAAAAGAGCAGGAAAAAATACTGCTTAGTACCTTTCATTTGAGTTGTTGCTGTAAGTATCTCATCAGCTGAATGAAAAGTGTGTCAATTAATATTTCACAGTCTTTGTTTTAAAATATATGTTTATTACACATCCTTGTGTACTTTTTTTAGGTTACCAATGTTCTTAACTGGATGGTTCGTATGAGTAGCGAAGTGGAGACGAATATTGTTTCCGTGGAGAGAGTTAAAGAATATACAGAGACACCTACTGAGGTAACATCACGATAGATTGACACTTCACAGTTTGTCCAGTTTCACATTCTAATAATTTTCCATAATATGGGTGTAATTTATGTTAAAACCGGTCAGTTTGAACGAAAGAAATAGTAAAGTACCAAGGAGGACTTCAGGTCGTCAGCCCAACGAAAACAATAGAACCGTGACGTTTGGGGAGACGGTAGGGAGAGGAGAGAAAACCACAAAGTTGCGGATAGAGAAGAAAAGTAATGGAGGATGAAAGGGTTTAGAGGGGAAACATTATGGACTCAGACATTCCCTGTATACTACAACTAATGCAAACAATCAAATATAATCTATGATGTATAATTAACCACAGTTTCGATTCCTGTTCTTCCTTCTTTTAGTGCAAGTGTATTCGCACTGAATTGGTATACCATGAACCCGTAGATAGATTTATTTAGCAAATATTTTTAAAGTAAGTAAGTAAGCGAGTACTTTTTCTCTTGTTGGGAAAAATCCAAATATTGTATAGAAGTCAACGGCATCATTCTCCGCTTTACTGAGTGTTGTTTTCCTACGTCATGTAGGCGGAATGGATTATTCCAGATAACCGCCCTCCGGATGGTTGGCCAGATGCAGGAAACATCGTGATTGAAGAGTTTGATTTAAAATACAGAGAAGGATTACCACTGGTGCTCAAGAATATTAACTGCAACATCAAACCAGGAGAAAAGGTACTAGTCCATTTTTACACACAAGAATACTGACGGCAAGGAAGTTGCTGAAGTGCCAACATAAAAAGTGAAGGAAATTGTTTCGTTCCTCATTTCTAGTTTCTGATGAAGCTATGGTGCTGTGAACTAAAGCTAGGTTTTATCAACCGTTTTTATTAAATACAATTTCCCCCTTAAGTTAAAAAAGAATCACAGGTTATATTTCGAATGACGGAACGAAGCCATTACATGAAAGAAGAGAAAGAAATTTATTGAGTTACAGGCGTTTTGATGAATTTCTATGGGATTGAGAGTGTCAATGCTTCTAACCTTTCCCCATTCATGATGCCTTTGTTTATGTCTCAGCCTAAAATCAGATCAACCTGTAAATGTATTTACTATTAACTTTTCAGATTGGTATTGTGGGTCGCACAGGGGCTGGCAAATCCACGCTGACTTTGGCTTTGTTTCGTATTCTGGAGAGAGCTGGAGGAAAGATTGTTGTTGATGGTATTGATATTGCCAAAATTGGACTTCAGGATCTGCGATCACGACTTACTATCATTCCACAGGTAATGATATATGCAGTTATCGCGTGACAAGACTCGTCATATTGAATGTGGGCTATAGTATTTAGCCGTCACGGCTCTTAGCGGATGTACGAATGTAGCTTGCAAATATATAGAGAGGCTTGTTTATAGATGCTGAAGTAATTTTATGGAATTGACATATTGTTTTCTTTTTGGTTCTAGGATCCCGTTTTGTTTTCTGGAACTCTCCGTCTTAATTTAGATCCCTTTGATAACCACTCTGACGAGGAATTGTGGAAGATTTTAGAATTAAGTCATCTGAAGAACTTTGTATCAGGAACAGAGCAGGGACTTCTGCATCCTGTGACTGAGGAAGGAGGCAATCTCAGGTGCGACGATTTAACTTCACATAACATCAGCACTGAGAACAGGAGTTTACCCTTGGGCGTGTGTACTCAATGTATTAAGGTTGGGGGTAGAAGTATTCCGCCTATGCAGATTGAAAAGCGGACATTTTAAGCTTTAGGCTTGTGTAAGGATGCTGAATACAATAAAGAAAAGAAAGAGCTATGGTTCTGGTGGCTCATTACAGCGGGCACTCATAGCAGTTAGTCGAGTGTTAGGGAGCATGGCCTGTCTTACAGATAATAAAATCAGACACCGGATCATTTTGCGATCTCCCCGTTTCTATCTGAACTGCTTCTAGTTCGTAACAACTTCGGTTTTACCAAGTATTTACGTTATCATTAACCCTCCACAGTGTTGGTCAGCGGCAGTTGGTATGTTTAGCACGTGCGTTGCTACGTAAAAGTAAAGTCCTTGTTCTTGATGAAGCCACAGCCGCGGTGGACCTGGAAACTGATGAACTCATTCAGCAGACGATTCGGCGGGAGTTCGCTGACCGCACTGTGTTCACCATTGCTCACAGGCTCAATACGATTATGGACTATAACAGGTTAGGAATGTGAATTTTAAGAGAAGTCATCATTGTCATACAATCATGATACAGGCTCTAAAGTGTCAGCAAATATGAAACGCTTTTCACTAATCAACTGCAGAAAAATGTTTTGTTTAAGTGTAACGTTTCATTCACCTTCGACCGTGTGGAAGTTGTGTGCACTTTGGTGTTGTATATGTTTGGTAATCAGTTGCCCATTCCGTTATAACAAAATCCATTAAGCACACCAAAGACTACTTGGTAGGAAGGGAACATCCAATGTATTCTCGACTGCGCCCTTGCTGTGATACCCCTTCTTAATACCTGCTACTCAACCTACTACTTTTTCTTGTTGATGTTTCTCCTTTGTTATTATTTTCTTAGGATCTTGGTTCTTGACAAGGGATTTGTAGTGGAGTTTGATAGTCCTGATAATCTCTTGGCTCTTCAAGGGATTTTTTACAGCATGGCACAAGACGCAGGATTAGCCTAGTTGTTTTCTTGTTATTTATTTTTTTGTGTGTTTTCATTTATCGCAGTTTTGTCTTAAGTATTGTGTTGTATGAGGCTAGTGGTCCTCGGTTTTGAATTTTAGTTTTAAATGAAAGCTTTTAACGATGCGAAATTTTAAACTTTGTTTGGATTCCGAACTAGTGTGACAAGGAAAAAAAGATGGCGGCTGTCAATGCCGGGGTCCGCGAATTCAGTTTTTCTTGTCTCATCTACGGTAATATTAGGAAAATTACTTATAGCTCTCTAATTTGGAGAGTTTGCAGACTTTCAGTTTTCATTAAACCTCTGCGTGATTGGTAAATTAATTGCCAAGATGGAGGGAGAGTTTTCGTTAGTTATTTAGGTTATATAATAGTTATCAAATTTTAAATATTTATGTATATAATGTATGGTCTTTTTGGTTATAACTTGTCAAGTCTTCGCTGTGGTAGATACCGTCATCGTATATAAGCATTTACATTGATATTTATTTAGCTAGTTAAGCAGACGCGTCACCTTATAGTCATTAGTTCTTTCTTTTGCCGACATTGAATATCTATTGTTTAATTTAATGTACACCGGGAGCACTTGTTAAAACAACTGTTTCTTGTTGACCAAAGCAAGGTAGCATATCATATGTTTCCTTTTTACGTAGCAAAGTTAGATTAGGAAAAAAAGACAAGCTTTAAAACAAAAATAAACACAATAACCCCTTCAATTTCGTTTCGTTCATTTTATTAAATGACTCGAGCATTTCACTCATTTCAGTGAGTTTCACGTAAAGGGTGGGAAAAGGGAACTTGGAAATGGCAATTTGCATTAAGGACAATGAAATGCAGACCTGAGAGCGCGCTAAAATCTCTGGGGCTACTTAGCTGGAGAGGTATAGATTGGAGAAAGAGGACGGCAGCACAGAAACTTTCCAGGTGCATCCAAGTTACATCATTGAGTAGGTACGGTTTGTCTAATAACTTTGGCATATTGATATTGGATTGGAATATCGGAGCAAAGTAATGATGCTTCGCTATGTCGGGTCGACACCAATTTTCACCACTTACTTGATTATTCCTATGACATAGGTTTTGGTCGGTGTTACCATGACAACATGAAATTAAGTTTAAAATACCGGTTACAGAATTGGTTACAGATCAAAATTGGAAAGCCTCCTATCATCTGATTGAAGAGTGTTGGCAAAGTCTCCGAAAAACCGTTTTGAACAAAGCCATATTAGCACGACAGTATCCCCTCTGTAACAACGTGTAATTTTACTCCGTAACATTTTTATGAAAACACTGAAATGTTTGCATGGATAATTTCAATATAAATGAATTGATGTTAAATGATTGGAAGGCAGGACGATGGGTGGCTAATCATCATGAATTCACATTATCGTTGTTTTCTCTTTATTATTAGAAAACGAAGGAGAAGAACTATTCAACTGTGTACGTAATGTATGAGTTTACATGAACATCAGACTCGGAATTCCAGTCAACAAGCAAAAACGCTTAAAACCTAAAACTTCTAATCGATTTTAAATAAAGGAGATAAAACATTCACAACGCTGAATTCGCCTTGTTTTCGTAACAATTCAGTTAACAAAGGCAATTATCTAATGCTTGCTAAAACGTGACTCGGAAAACGTGATTTCAGGTCTACTTAGTGGTCCTTAATAGAGCTTCTCGAGCTCTGAAATATAGAAGTATTTTTGATGCATTTAATTGTTATGCTTACAAAAATGGTCAGACATTTCTCATCCATTATAAATCCGTATCTTATCCACTGATAAATCATAGATTTACCATAAACTAGCTGATCCGTGTTGCATTGAAATTCATCTGAGAAAATTACTTTTCCTAATTGTGAAAGATTCACTGGGGAATTCTATTGTGCCAAGTACATTTGGTGCTGACAAAATTGTGTTCTGGGCGGGTTAATGACGAAAGAAACACACTTAGTAGATCTACTTTTACTTTGATGTAGTTGATTTTCAACAGAAACAAAGCTTTGTAGAANCTGATTGAAGAGTGTTGGCAAAGTCTCCGAAAAACCGTTTTGAACAAAGCCATATTAGCACGACAGTATCCCCTCTGTAACAACGTGTAATTTTACTCCGTAACATTTTTATGAAAACACTGAAATGTTTGCATGGATAATTTCAATATAAATGAATTGATGTTAAATGATTGGAAGGCAGGACGATGGGTGGCTAATCATCATGAATTCACATTATCGTTGTTTTCTCTTTATTATTAGAAAACGAAGGAGAAGAACTATTCAACTGTGTACGTAATGTATGAGTTTACATGAACATCAGACTCGGAATTCCAGTCAACAAGCAAAAACGCTTAAAACCTAAAACTTCTAATCGATTTTAAATAAAGGAGATAAAACATTCACAACGCTGAATTCGCCTTGTTTTCGTAACAATTCAGTTAACAAAGGCAATTATCTAATGCTTGCTAAAACGTGACTCGGAAAACGTGATTTCAGGTCTACTTAGTGGTCCTTAATAGAGCTTCTCGAGCTCTGAAATATAGAAGTATTTTTGATGCATTTAATTGTTATGCTTACAAAAATGGTCAGACATTTCTCATCCATTATAAATCCGTATCTTATCCACTGATAAATCATAGATTTACCATAAACTAGCTGATCCGTGTTGCATTGAAATTCATCTGAGAAAATTACTTTTCCTAATTGTGAAAGATTCACTGGGGAATTCTATTGTGCCAAGTACATTTGGTGCTGACAAAATTGTGTTCTGGGCGGGTTAATGACGAAAGAAACACACTTAGTAGATCTACTTTTACTTTGATGTAGTTGATTTTCAACAGAAACAAAGCTTTGTAGAAGGTAGTGCTGGATCCACAGGGCTTTGGATAAGGCCGGCGTCCACGGTATTTGTTCCAGTCGTTCAAGTATGTACACTGAATTAAAACAATTCACTTAACTACTTTAGAGAAACAAGTTTTTCGCAGCCCTGCTATGTAAAGAGACTCCACCAAAAGTGTTATGGAGCTTCCATTCTAATATTTCTAGGTAAAATTAACTTGTCTCAGTACACTGATGTAGCAAACGCACAAAAGACTAACGAAGCAAACGGTCATAATCTCTGTACAAAGCTACACAGGATATGGCTAGGATGACATCGTGCATAATCATCATTTCTAGCTGTATTCTCCAGGTGCTCATGTGGTATCCGAGCAATCGAAGCAAGTTTTTATCCCAGTCATGTATCTAATATTATGGGGTTTGAATTTCCTACGAACCCATATGTCAGTGCTATTGTGACTTCAATACTCTGTGTATTGTTCGTGTTGATGTTGTGTAGTCTTTGTTTAGGCAAGTGCGTCGATCGTTTTATAACCGCCAGTACCTAGATTGGCTTCCTTTTTATCTTACAAGACATAAAACTGTACAATTTATAGTATATTTATATGTACAATTTGCTCAATGCCATTTGCTTTAGTGAGATATTTACTTTGTTTGCCAGTACACGCCGCTGACAATGTCAGATTTGTCACCAGCCGATAGGGGAGAGGCTTCTTTAGGTCACTTGAATCTTGGACAAGACACTTGTGACGATGTAGGGTTGGAACTTCCAGTAATTGAAATAAACAAAGATCACCCGGATTCAGGACATGGAAATGAAGAGCAAAATGCCGATGATTGGTGGAATCATGTTCAGACAGTCGTTATCAATGAAGAGAACGCAAATTGTCTAGATGATATAAATAGAAAAAATTCAACTGGGTATGCTATTTACTTAATATACTCTGGAAAACGACTTGTATGCCAACAGCAGATTGAATGTCTTAGAATTAAAATTAGGAAGGAAATTTGCGGTGCCAATTTCATTCCCTGCAATTTCAACAGTGGCCGATTCATGGAAGAAGCTGCAGATAGGGAGGGTGGGTGTGATCGAGCGTCGGCAAAGAAATACACACTTGACTGTCTGTCGGTTAATTGGTGACTAGTTCCTAGGCTTAATTATTCCGCACGGCTGATACGAGAAATGCATTGACCGAGAAGGCCTGGGACGACACCGTACGGTTCAATCCATGCATGATGAAACCGTCCCCCACCCAACCCCCACCCATCCAAAATAATGACACTGACGTAAGCGTTCATCAGAAGGATGCCTTAAATGTGTGCAATTCCACAGTTTGTTTCGTCTCTATAAAATCCTTTGCAATTAAAGAACCGTTTCACCCACAACATGAGCACAGTTACTGACAGGGTATATTACTGAGGAAAATAACGCAAAATAATGACATCCGTTATATAGGTTAATATATCGGTGAAGGCACGACATAAACTAAAAACACAAATAATAATAGTGGTGATAGTGGTGGTGATTATGATGATAATGATTATCGTTTTATCATTATTAACACTGACTGGGTGAGACTGCTTCTGTTATTAAGACTTATGCACATGGTGGGTGTTATCTGCCTAAGTCGAAGGCTGCATGGATAACATCATTCAAAATATAGGATTCATTCCTAAACCTGAGGAAGCGCACATGCTTTTTTTGTACACAATCTTGAAAACCCAGTCGACATCGCTCGAGCGGCCCTTTTTACATTCTTTTCATCTTTCTAGGATATTTACTCGGATATTTCGTCCTCGCTTAAGACTCAAAACAAAACAGAGCATAGTTACCTTACAGTAATAAATGAGGCACATTTATATAGTCAGTTTTTACTTCTTAAGAAAAACTAACCTAGGGATTAAAGGCAGTATGCGATTTCTAGTTCACAGTTTTTCTTTACTCCATTAGTTGACTGTAGTTAACTGCTTTTTGTGAAAGTTTTAGCATACAAGGATTGCCTAGAAAAAGGAAGGAGTCACCTTACAACAGATTGAAACCAGAAGTAGCCATTAAAAAGGTAAGGTACTTTTTGCAGTGTACGACTTTGCCCGGTTTTTTTTTTCACGGCTTGCTGTCTTTCTGTATTATCCAAGACAGTGCTGTGCGATATTTCAACAACCTCCCCAAATCAGACATCAAAACCGCGTGCATAGAAAGAGCCACCTTTTTACGCAAATGGGAAGAACAATTTCGTAGCTCTTAGCTATCCTTCCCTATCTTAACTATTATACATTTCATCAATTATTATTTTTTCAATTAGATCTTTTTTCTTTTTATGAGTTTTAGTCATGGTTAATTTTTATACTTAGAGTTTTCCTTAGTTATGTAGAGCCAATTTTAAGGAATGCAAATAAATCGTTATTATCACTCTATATTTTATTCTCACCAGATTCCATGTCCAGCGGAAAAAGCCAATTTTCTTTCTAAGCTTACTTTTTGGTGGTTTACGAGGTATGCCTTTACTTTCCATTATGCTCATTGTTTCATATTTCCAAAATTGTCAAGGACTCTTCGTTAATTGTAGCTCAGGCGCAAAATATACACTCCCTTCAAACTCAAGAGTATTTCTTAAACGAAAAGTGGTCGGCTGGTTTCCGATCCAATTCCTTATCTCGCAGGGCTTAACTTACGTGGCTGTGTTTTCCCGAGATTCGCAAGGTTTTCCAGTGAGACACGTATTTCTAGTCGTAGGCTTGTATTCAAAGACAGTTTTCACTTGGTCCTTTAAAACGATGACGTTAAAACAGACTGGCAAAATCCCAACTAATTCAAGTTACAATAAGTTTCCTATAATTTCGGAACTGAATATTTGCGGAACCCAACCTCTATTTTCCGTTTTGTTTCAGCGATGAATAAAATTCAAGGAAGACAGAGTGTATCAGAGTTGGTAAAATTCTGCTTGTTCCCGAGTTATTCTAACATAAATTACTTTACGATTACTTCTCATTCCTTTAGATTTGTTCTTACTGGCTCCAAGAGGACTCTCTCTGACGCTGATTTATGGGATCTGGGCGATTCATTTCAGGCCTCCAACGTGATCACTCGTGCTAAAGGATCATGGAAGCAAGAACAAACGAAATGCTTCAAGTACGAAAGCCATTGTTTTGGCATATTATCCAAGCTATTTAAGTACTACTACTACCACTACTCGGCATTTTCTATAGCACTTATAACGGTGGGGCCGAAACTGAAACAAATAATTCAAATCATGGCAGGAGGCAAGCCGCCAGCTGGCTATTCAGTGCAAGCGTGGGTGAGGATTTCAACTCGGGATTGTGACCGTGAACAAATCTAGGTGGAGATTAGGACGGAACTTGAACTCGGCGCCTCAGAATAGGTCTGTGCCGATTGTCTGACCAAGTTTTGAGCTAAAAGTGAACGATTTCACAGAAAACTTTAAGTTATGCGCATTTCTTGAGCGGTTATCAACCTAAAGATATTTAGCTTGAAAGGAAAAATTTAATGCATACTTCGATCAATTATAGAAAAAAAGAATAATTCTCAGACAGCGTCCTAGATTTTATAATCGTCGAAATATGAATAATTACTTAGCTAAGAAGTATCATAGTGTTCAGGGTGCTCATACGCCACTTCCACATTTCCCATAATGCCCCTTATTTGCCCCCCAAAATTTTGCATAACCTGTTTATTTTTCAGTCTCCTGGGTGTTACAGCCGTCCCAAGAGGAATTGAAAACAATGCTGCTATGCAAACTTTAGGGGCAAATAAGGTACATTATGGGAAATGTGGAAGTGGCGTATAGTGAACTTGGGCTACCTGTGGCTTCGCCCATATTTGCGAACACGGTAAGGTGCAAGCTATTTTTCTTGCACTATGTTAACAGTTATCGCGAAAAACTGAAAATAGCCCTTTTAATTAAAGTTTATATTTAAAATATCAAGAAATTTATGTAGCAACTTTTTGGTATTCCAATAAGCAACTTTCGGACATTTTAGGAGCACAATCTGGACAGGACTACCTCCGAATTACAAGTGCAGTGCTCTAATCGCTCAGCAACGCTGCCTCCTGTTTAAGTGTAGATTGGATCCAATAATTAGAAAATATTATCCATTTTTCACATGTAGAACAAGTTGCTATTGTACATACTTTGCATCTATTTTAATAAATTTTATTCACAGTACTCTTTGTAACTTGAAATGGGGAAAAACACTTTCTGTTGTGGATAACGAGCTATCTTTTTCTTCTAGGCAAGATGATATATTATCGTCAGGATATCCCACTTTTACACCCGAAGTTATGACGAAAGAGGGCGATCTAACCAAAGTCGAATTTTCGGGAACGCAGAGAAAACCCAATAAGAAAACACCAAGCCTTGTGAGAGCGCTCACCAAAGTATTTTGGCTCAACATTGTCCTTGCAGCCTTGTTCAAAATTGCTAATGACATTGTACAATTTGTACAGCCTCTACTGCTTGAGTAAGTAGGGTTTAACATTAGGTCGAGCCACAGTCTTTTATAGGGAATACATTTCTGGCAGTTTACTTGTTTCATTTTAACAATAAGGCAACATGGCCTCTAAAAGAATCCTCTGGTCAGTTAAAAAAAAAAACGTTCTAACGGTTCAGCGATGTACGTTTAGTTTCTTAGTGCTGACTGTTTTGTAAACCACAAAAGGGCTTTCTCCCTCATAAGACTTCTCTTCATTTTATTTTTTAGTGTTGTCGAGAGGGCGGTAGATCAGTTGAGAGTCATTGTGCTCATTCTTTCAGTCTGCTAATTGATTTATTTTTTTTTTCTCTTTGCAGTTTGGTAATAGAATACGTTGGAGACAAAAACAACAAAGTTGAAAGCTGGAAGGGTTTCATTTTCGCGGTAGCCATGTTTGTTACAGCTATTGTTCAGTCATTTATGCTGCAGTATTACTTTCATTATTGCTATTTGCTGGGAATGAAAGTCAAGACGGCTTTATTGGGTCTTATATATGAGAAGGTAACACAAAAACACTGCATACATACAGGTATTTCAATCTTTCTGAAATAAACCCCTTAAAGCCTAAACCTAAACCTAAAACTCGCCTTTTGCGCCATCTTAAAATACGTAGAATTAGATGTGATGCTTCTTTTACAAAGTTTAGCCTCTTTTTGTAGCCGGATAAAGAGCTATACTTCAATTTCCTGGAAAGTGAAAAAAGAAACTTCTTCGATGAGTAAATGACATCTAATTTGTACACCGTATCAGAATACAACAACTTCAACGTGCATCGACAAAGTCGCAAAAGGAACACACTATATTGTATCGGATTTAATCTCAGTTCATTATTTTATAGGCTCTTCTTCTTAACAATGCATCTCGACGCCAGTCCAGCGCGGGTGAGATGGTGAACTTAATGTCTGTTGACACGCAGCGCATTATGGACCTCGCCACCTACGTGAACATGCTCTGGTCCTCTCCACTTCAGATTTTAGTCGCCATATATTTGTTGTCCGTTTCCATGGGAATATCGATTCTTGCAGGAGTCGGTGTCTTAGTACTGATGATACCTTTGAACCTGATCGTTACCAGGCAGTCACGTGTACAACAGGTAACATGACAACGAACTTGTTGTAAGGAATAAAAAAGTCTGTCTATCCACTGGGCTTGTTATGGCTGGTTCCCATGTAGTCATCTGGATCGTTCTGATCTTTGGGAGGATTGTTAATGCACTGTACTTTGTGTATTGTCTTCTTAGGTCAATCAATTGGTAGAAAAAGACTCCCGCATCCTTATTATGAACGAGGTCCTGAGTGGTATTAAGGTAACGTGAACTGACGGCAACATAACAAGTGTGTGATTGTTAAAATGTGGACAAATAACGTTCAAAAGATGAATTTTAGAGAAGCGATAATATCACAGGGCTTATAAGAACCCTTCAGACGCTCGAACCCATTAAAACAAAAGCCAAAACGAGTTGGATGCGTGTAGGTCCATCGAACACGGCACAAGCTGCAAGAAACACGAATAGATTGGAAAGCAAAAGTTAGAAATATTTTGGACTTAGCCAGACTGATGATGATGATGACGATGATGATGATGCGACTGTTTGTGGCGCAGTTTACAGTTAGTGACGAGTTGTGGATACCGTTCTTGTAAGAATAGATCTGAATTAAAATAGCTACGTGAGATTTAAGTCACTGCCGGAGTTTTGTTACGCCCCTAATGGTTGTTTTTTTAGGTACTGAAGTTGTACGCTTGGGAAGAATCTTTTCTATCCAGAATAATGCATATAAGGAATAATGAACTACGATGCCTCAGAAATGCATCCTGCTTTAACGCTGTCATTGAATTCACTTTCACCTGCGCTCCATTCTTGGTAAGGGTTTTTTTCCTGTAATTTTTTTCAGCATTAACTCCCTCCGTAGAGTAATAGTACTGATCTATCGTATGGTTTTGATGTAGTGAAGGGGTTGGGGGTTGGGGATTGGAGGCGGTGATGGGCAACGCTTAAGATTCTATGGTTGACCTGTATCTGATCAATAACTTTGAATACCCTACCACTAACATTTATTATACAGTAGAACCCCGTTAGTACGGTCACCAATGGGCCAAAAAAAATTTGGCCGTATTAACGGGTGACTGTATTAACGAGGGTTTTTTTTTTTTACAAAAAAATGTTTGGCCGTTTTGCTCCTCGGGAGGCCAAAAAAAGTGGCCGTGATAACGAGATGACCGTATTACCGCGGTTATTAAAGAGGTAGCCGTGAGGCCGGGTTTCACTGTACGTCTGTAGATTAACTTCACAGTGGGGAAGAGAAACGGTGATGCAATTAACAAATGACATTTACTGCTCTTTACAGGTGTCCTTTGCTACATTTGGGGTTTACATTCTAACTGGAAACGAGCTAACAGCTTCCAAGGCTTTCTTAGCAATGTCGTTGTTTAACATTATTAGATTCCCATTTACCATTCTTCCTTTCGCTGTCATCAGCTTTGTACAGGTGGGTTTCAGTTACTTAATCAGGCTATATGTTAAAACGGGAAACCTTATCAATTCCTGAACGAGTTCTTGAGATGATAAAAAAAAAAATACGGTCTGGAAGATTTAGATGAATTTAAGTTGAAACTTTGTTGGGTCACATCTGGGTCACATCTGCTGGATGAGTTGATATCAAACACGAGGAAGAGTGTTGTACGTGATCTCCCACAATTATTGGAGGGTTAAGACCAGTGATGTATATATAGGATTCAATTTCCTTCCCGTCCGTCTCTTTTTCGCTTGAAAAATAATTAAGTTTTAAACGTCGTAAAATAACTGATGTCTAACTCTTAGTAGCCTGAATTTCATCCGATTACTTCGAATCGTTATTACTCCCTCAGTAATGACGTTGCCGGAGAGGAGAAAAAGACTCGAAGCAATCGGATGAAATTCAGGCTAAACTCTTAGTTGCAGAACAGTAAAAACACAAGACTGTTTTAGATTTACGTTTTTTCTATACATAATTAGTACTGAAGTCATCTGCCTGACCCATCGAATGATTTAGTTTGCTTTTTCCAATGAACTAATGTATTTGCAATCTTGTAATATTTTTTTACATTTCAGGCACTTGTATCGATAAAACGTATCACAGAATTTCTGAACCTCGAGGAAGTGAATTCTGGGAGCGTTCAGAAGACTATGCCCTCAGCGAGTTAGTAACCGTTCTCCATTTCTTCTTTGTTTAAGTCTTTTATTAACTTAATCTTTTTCTTACTAAGTAATATTTTTTCCAATAGAAAAAGGATTAGCTATTCACGTGAAAAATGGGCTTTTCAGCTGGGATAAAGATGAGATGCCTATCCTCGAAAAGTAAGAACTCATTTTCTCAAACTAATAACCGTCAAGTCAGACATGAAGTTAAATCACTTTTCCCTTAAATTTAGTTTGATTTCGGCATTTGTTTAGTATTTTTAACGCTTTTTGGTGCACGAGGATGGCATTTACCCATAAAAGTTTTTAGACAGGCTGTAACTATCGATTGTAACAATCTTTCTAGCATCAATCTGGACATTCCTGTGGGGTCTCTTGTAGCAGTTGTTGGTCCTGTAGGAAGTGGAAAATCTTCTTTGTTGTCTGCATTCCTCGGGGAAACAGAAAAACTGGAAGGAGTGGCTGCTATGGAGGTCAGAATATTAAACAGCGTTTAAAAAAATGAAATTTTGTTTTATTTATAAGTAGCTTTATCATCTTTTGAGAGATATTTTCCACTAAATTTTGATTCTCTCTTAAAGTGTGTTTTCGATTGTTCTCTTTTTCATCTAGAGTTGGTGTGGTAACCGCAGTTCAATAACGTTTTTTTAGAGTGATTTTTTGTTGAGATTTATGAGTATTGTTGAAAGTGGCCCAGTCACTTATCCAAATTACCCTCCAAGACCTCCAACACAGAAGTTATATAATTTTTATATCATGATATATTATTTACAGGGTTCTGTGGCTTATGTTTCTCAACAAGTGTGGATGCAAAATTCCACCTTAAGAAACAACATAACGTTTGGCAAACCTTTTAACTCACGTATGTACCAGAAAGTGATTGACTCTTGTGCTCTTGAGGCAGATTTAGAGATTGTTCCTGGTGGTGACATGACAGAGATCGGAGAAAGAGTAAGAATAAAATCATTCTTTTAAGTTGTTCTTTGTAGTTGTACGAATAATATTTACTGTCCTGAGAACAATGTTGACTTAACAAACCTTTTTGCTCTTTTTTGGTCTCCAGCTTCATTGTTATTTTATGTATTAAAATACGTACATACATATACTTTATTGAGCATACCTAAAAAAGGCTTTTCAACATGAAAATAAAAATAAATTAAATGGATGAATAAATTAATAATTTAATTAATTAATCTGAAAAACCATGTACAGCAATAACTAAAAAGTAAATATGTACAAACGTCATCATCATCTAACCTAGTCCATGTTAGAAATCGGTTCATTGATTAGACATCTCTAAAAATTCTAGTATTTATGATTTCCGTTGAGTCGTTACTTTTAAGTAACGACTCAACGCGCCTTTTATTACCGTGGTGTGAAAATATGGAATAATTCTACAAGATGGAATATATTGAGGCCATCTCTATATCTTCTCTGTCTATCATTTTAATAGTAACTTTATTGAAACCACCACTAGTTAAGCTGTTAATTCTGAATCTGTAATCATTTATTAATGACTAAGTCTTCTGATTCAGACTAGAATTCCACTCCAGAATAAATGTTATTGAGGCTTAAAGAAAAAATAGCGCATCAATTACTCCAAATGACGGCAATATTGGTCGAGTCAGTAAAGTGTAAAAAAAGGGTTAGCATTAATCGAATCGATAGAAAGACGCTAAAATCTAATTAATGACATAAAAGTTGCTACGTGAAAGATACAACACCTATTTTGGAAGGGAAATTTTTCCATGGAGACATTAGCCGTTGGGAGCAAACATTTATTACACCAAAATATTGCCAGGTGCGTCAAGGTTATACGTATCAATCATCTTTTCAAAATCAAAGTCAAACTTTTGAGTACTACATCAATATATAGTAGAAACCGTATGATGTGTTGCTTATCAATCTCTTCTGTTCAGGGTATTAACCTTAGTGGAGGACAAAGACAGCGTATCAGCCTGGCACGTGCTGTGTATTCTAACGCTGATATCTACTTGTTTGATGATCCCCTCAGTGCTGTGGACTCACAAGTGGGAAAACATATCTTTGATCACGTTATCGGTCCTAGGGGGACTCTACGAAATAAGGTTTGCTTTGCTAATTTTACTCCCTTTTTCTTCTACCTTTTATCTTCATTGCCGGGCAATTTTATGATATCAATGTAGCTCATACAGTACTTTGTTTGCATGCTGGAACGACTTATTTAAAATGGATAAATTTCATCGATGGCTCTACCTATATTCAAAGTATGTCTTAACCTTAAGTCGACTAACCCGTCGGGCCCATTTCAACTGGTCCTTCGAAACAGTAAAAGTACGTTTATTTCTCTTACGACGTCATAATTCATCAAGACGGCCATCTTGATTAGTGTACCATTTTTAAAATTCACCGGTGTGGAAACAAAATCTATAAAAACCAATCAGACTAAATTCTGTAATCAGTTTTTGTTAATTGTACGATTGTAGTTAAAATTTAAACGGTCATTGCTCATGCGGACAATTGGGAATTCAGTGGTACTAGTCGCGCTAAGGACTATAAAGGGATTAGTTGTGGGCCTGTATTAGTTTGACTGTTAGCAATGTTTTTGAAGCTGTAGGAGTTAAAATTCTACCAGTTTACAGTGTGTCCCAAAAGTTCGTTTCTTTCATGCACTATATAACTTTTGATCAAAACTTTATTTTACATGAAATTTCAAGAAGATGTTTATTTCTCAATCGAGTACATGTATTCAGAATTTCAGTAACGGGCATGCAGTATATTTATATTTTTTTTTATCGCATTCTGTAGCCGTTGCGACATGAAGTGGGATACAGCATGTAGACCCACAGATGATCTATTTGTTGAGCTTTTTTATCACCTGGTGCGCAGGAGCTAGTCCAACCTCCAAACATTATTTGTTTAGTTCAGGCAGCTAAAAAAATATATTTGGAACATTCATCCATAAAATATAATCATCCCGGCCCCCTTCCACAGCAAGGCTCTTGTACTTCTATATAAATTTGTGACGAGCTACGAGTTACTTGGCAGACTAAGCAGAGGATTTTTTTTTGCCATCTCAGGGGCCTCTAATTTTAAACATTTTGAACAGCTTTTCATGACCCTTCCTGGACTTGGCTTGCTAACGATGTGAGAACTTCCGCGTCGAATCTCCTATTTTGTATCTAGCCTTCTTTAAAACTATTTTAGCTGCTTTATTCAGGACTTTTGGTCTTCCCCTTCGTTTCGTGCCTTTAAAACCTTCATTTCTCCATGATCATTTTACCACACAACATTCGGATTTTTCCAGTTTTTAGCAGTTTCTACAACAGATAAGACAATAAATAGAAGCATACATGCTTATAATCTCATGTAGCTGAACGATTTTGCGTTAAGGGGGTTTAACTTTCCTGATATTCACAAAAATCAAGGAAGGAGTTCGAGCAATTCGGGCTCTAAAATACAAAAAAAATGTGGCTGGTAAATATACTCGCGCATGCGCAGCTTTAGCGCGGAAGTACACAAATCGAATATTCCAGTCAAAAGATGGCACAACAAGTGTGAAAATAGTGAATTAGATTGAAAGACACAACTTTTGTTCAAATAATTGGCTTACCAAACCCAATTGTACTGAAATACAGACTTATAAAGAAGAGGAACTAACTTTTGGGACACACTGTATTTCTGTGCCTCCTGTCTGAATTGTGTCCCATATTTTTGTTTTAATTTTTCACCAGACACGTGTCCTGGTTACTCACAAATGAAAGTATGGAATTTATTAAAAGAGCAAGAGCTGAAAGTCTTCTTTCGGTGATAACCTCTGATAGTGGAAACGTCAACTTTTGTGCCTCTTCCCAGCGTTATGATACTTTGGCCGACATGATGACAACAAAGGAAGAAGCAGAAATCGGCGGGGTAAGGATTTGTTAAATTTTTCAAGGTCAAACCTCAGCAATTAATACACAAACCAAAAGGTTTCATTCCTGAAGAAATGACACTGGTGCTGTCGCACTGATCTCCAAAATGTATTTCTGTTAACAGGTAAAACTGACTGTATTTTGGCGTTACTTCAAATCTATGTCAGTTTGTCTCTTTGGAGCCTTTTTTCTTTGCTTACTGTTCGCCGAATGTTGGTCAGTGGCAGCACGCATGTGGCTTGCGCACTGGAGCAGCACATCAACCGAGGCCAACTCGACATCACAACAACCGCATGAGCTTGGAATATACGGTGGGCTTGGCTTGTCTCAGGCAGTATTTGTTCTACTAGCGTGTTTCATGCAAGCTTTTGGCTCAGTCATGGCATCTCGTAGTCTTCACAACGGATTGCTTACTAACATTCTTCACTCCCCCATGACGTTTTTTGAGTCTAATCCTCTTGGAAGGATCATTAATCGTTTTTCTAAAGACATGGAAATGGTAGATGATCTTGTTCCAAGAACATTGATCACATTTCTTCGGAGCATCTTAGAGTTGTCTGCAGTGTTGTTTATTATTAGTTATGTCACTCCACTTTTCTTATCCGTCATTCTTCCACTGGGAATCCTCTACACGCTTATTCAGGTAAGAGTCTTATTACGTATATGGAAACAATGCGTTGCATGCTGGACAACTAAAAGGTAAAGGCGACCTCCAACGTCATAAAGGCATTACTGGGGATCAGATTGCATTATTATTTAAGAACTAACAATAAAAATAATACCATCTACAGACTATGAAGCCCCGCATGAATACGTTAGATAGTCTGATAGCTGACATGGCTTAATTGTTTTAGCGAATATTTATGGCAACTGCTCGTCAGTTGAGAAGAATGGAATCAGTGAAGAGATCACCTATCTACAGTCACTTCTTTGAAACTTTGAATGGCGTTAGTACCATCAGAGCTTACTCACAAGAACAGCGCTTCATACAGGAGAACTTCGCCAAAGTGGATGAAAATCAAATGGCTTATTATCCCTACTGCATTTCTGATAGGTGAGGTTGTCATGTCAGTTTTAAGAGTTTGACCCAATTTAAAATTATGACAATAAAACACCACTATGTATGATGTATTACCTACACTATCACTGGCATCTTTGGTATAATGACCAGCATTTTTTTCATTTTTCATGAACCAATGATTCAGAGAGACACCTTTTGTTACCGAGACAGTTACCGAACAACCGTAGGGTAAAACGAAATAAGATGACTAGAAAATTCTCATATAAGGCGTGGCACTTAGTTTCCATTAGATAAAGTCAAGTTCATATCGTTTCATGAACAAAGAGTGTCATAAATTTGAAAAGTTTCCAGACGTTTCGGCCTTACACCTCCTTAAAGAGACAACGTTGCCTTAATGTATGACTAGTTTCCCGTTGAAGACAACGGCGACAAGAAATCGTTCATCATACGTCATTTTGCGGGAAAACCAGTGTTGGCGTTGCGAAATGTAGGCTGCTGTTTTCTCAGGCGTAGTCTCCATGCTGGTGAATTATGTTTCATTGCATTCTTTGTTTCATTAATATGACATGTAGGTCGTTTTTGAAAATATGACTGATTCACTTATGAGTGTTGTTCACTCTATTACTTGTCTTACTTTATGGAACTAAGTGGAATTATGATGTTTGATTTGTGCTCTGTTGTTGTATTTTTGTTGGTTTTCATCTCATTATTAGGTGGCTTCAGTTACGGTTAGAGTTTATTGGAAGTTGTGTGATTCTTTTTGCTGCACTTTTCGCCGTGATCAGTCGAGATAAGATTGATAGCGGTATGGCTGGATTGTCTATAGTGTACGCTCTACAGGTAAGAAATCCATCTGACTTTGAGATCGTAATATATTTACCTTACCGTGCAATACGTTTTAAAAACAGTTAAGGTAGAAGAGCCACCAAAAGGTTGAGTCACAAAGTTTCACTATAGCTTAGTTACAAAATCCACGGTATTTTGGGTTTAAGTGCTCCGCAGTTTCAGTCTTTCCCTATACGTAAAATCCCACCCTAAACTCCTATCAAATGAAATAAGTGTAGGACTCTTACAGCCGTTTACGGCCATTTGCATAGTAGATCGATGATAAGTTGTGACTGATATTGCACTTTTGACTTCGTGTACTTAAGATGATCAAGAAATATTCATCGCTTTCTTGTGCGTGTTTCAGATTACAGTTAATCTTAACTCCATGGTTCGTAGACGAAGCCAGCTGGAATCTAGCATTGTTTCTGTGGAGCGTGTTAAAGAATATTCTGAGACTCCTACAGAGGTTGGTACACATTTTAAATGAATCAATGAACTGACTAGGTAAAATGCAGTATTACAGCCTATACACTAAGAAAATGATGACATGCTTTGTCCAATGCTCGTACATGTTGGTCACTTCATTTCTCATTTCTTTACCGAGCTTGAAATTTACAATCTTTCTTTATTTATCACACGCATGACAATTTCGACATTGCCGATCTTAGCAGTACGCAAGACGCATGTCATATATGAACCTTGTATACGGCCCAACTCGCTACGAGTCCTTCGTATAGCAGAGGTCAGAGCGTCTGACCGGTGTACGGAAGGTCACTGCGTCTCAATTCCTGTCGGGGACTCAGAGTTTTTCTTTGTCCAATGCTCCTGACATGTTGATCATATCATTTCTCATTTCTTCACCGAGCTTAAAATTTACCATTTTTCTTTCATTTTTGAGGATGATATTCCTTTAAAGTGAGAGCTACCTTGTAGCAGTGATGCTAGTACAGTACAACACAGTACAGTTAAAATGCTCCAGACGGTAAACCTGTTACCTTGGAGTTGCAGTGGCGACTACACGGTCGACCAGTGCAGCGAAACCACTCTTATCTTGTTTAGACCTCTTTGCCTCCTCAATGGAGAAATTTAATAATTTAGCGATATTTATCCAAGGTTCCGGTTTGTATGGTCGCCTAGACTTCGCAAACAGCTTCTTCCTTATCAGCGTAGTGTTTGGACAGCGGCAAAGACGTCGTATTACTTTTCAGACCAACAGCATTTCTGCTGCTGCCATTTTAGGCGTTTTGTTTTTCTGCTTGTCTTCTTTTGGCGTAAGCTATTTGAGCAACTCATTTATGACTTGCTCAGAGGCGTCTGCCGTAAAGAGGTTTAAAAAATAACGTTTTAAGTGCTAATCCAAACCCTGACTGTAACCACCGGAATTTAACCCAGGATCTCTGCCATGATCTTTATCGGGAGTTTTAGAACCTTTTACTGTGCCTAATGGAAAAAATCAACCTCTTTAAATTTCCGAACGCGGCAGACCATGGATATTCTATAACACATGAGCGTGTTTTAATTTCAGGCCGCGTGGAGTATTCCAGACATTCGTCCACCGAACGACTGGCCTCAAAGTGGAAGCATCGTCTTTCAAGACTTTGATCTAAAATACAGACAGGGATGTCCACTTGTACTAAAAAATGTTAACTGTATCATTCATCCGGGGGAAAAGGTTAGCTTCATCCGCTCGTCCTGTTCGCATAAAATCTTAATCCTATTGTTGAAAGTGCTTGACAGGTTGTTTGGAAACCTTCCTTGAGCTTTGTTTCCTTAGTAATTAATCTTTTCTTGTACTTGTTTTTGTTCAATCATATTCTTTATTGTAACTATTCTTTAAAGCCATTCTAAGATCGAGAATGTACTGTTAGAGAGTGCTCACAGAAACTGATCAGTTTATTTTCTACTGTTTTGCCTCTTTTTAGATCGGTATTGTGGGGCGAACAGGAGCTGGAAAATCAACTTTAACTCAAGCCTTATTTCGTATCTTGGAGCGAGCTGGTGGCAAAATCATTATTGACCAACTCGACATCGCGACAATTGGGTTGCACGATCTTCGTCAACGACTCACCATTATTCCACAGGTCAGTTTGCTTACGCATGCGTGCGGCTTAGCCTGAGTAGGTAGTGACGCTAACAGCAAGTCATGGCAACTTTTAAAACAAACCAGAAACGACTTTAATTGCATAAAAAGGTTGATATCTTACCAGGATAGATGAACTGAGAGTTTTATGGATGTGAGTCGCTTAGTGACAGCTCTACTTCTTGATGTGGTGTTATACGTCATTACGCACTTGAAATTCAATTCTGTTTTTTCCCTTAATAATCTATTTTTTTTCCCTTGGCCCACAAGAGCTTTATGTCCACATTCCAACTTGACCTCAGAAGAAACGGCGAAAGGGTCATTTAACTTTTAACTATCACGAATTGTTTCCGCACAGGATCCCGTGTTGTTTTCTGGGACTCTTCGGCTTAATCTGGATCCATTCAGCAAACACACAGATGAGGAACTGTGGCAGGCAATTGAAGCAAGTCACCTTAAAGACCTCGCATCAGAAACAGAGAATGGGTTACAGTTCCCCATCATTGAAGGTGGAGACAATCTAAGGTGACAAACAAATCTCAGCATACAATCTCTCCGTTTTTTTAAACAAACTGGTGTTTTTAATGACATTATATTGAATACAAAACCCCACAGAGGATGACCTCAGTTATGTAATGGCATTACAGACACACTTTATGCATCCCAGTGATAAACAATTGCCTCATGGTACTCGTAAAAGAAGCAGTTACATAGCCGGTCTGTCCCTATCAAATATAAGAATATGTTACACATTCATCTTGTCCAGAAAGATGAATACCATTTGATATTGTTATAAAACTAAATACAAATCACAAAGGAGTGACTCTTAAAAAAGGTATACCTAATTTTCACCTTCACGATTTTGTGTTGAAAGTTGTTCTGAATGCATGAAGACTTTGAAGTTGTTTTCGCAAGTCATCTGCGGCATAATCGTTATTTATCCAAATGTATGACTGACTGATGTTTTTTTAACTTTCAGTGTGGGTCAGCGACAGTTGGTGTGTTTGGCAAGAGCTCTTCTACGTAAAGGAAAAATTCTGGTCCTTGATGAAGCCACATCCGCGGTTGACATGGAAACCGACGATCTCATTCAGCAGACAATTCGGCGGGAGTTCGCTGACCGTACCGTGTTTACAATTGCTCACAGGCTCAACACCATCATGGACTATACCAGGTAAATGCAGTTGTTGTTCATATGTGATTTTTGATGACAGGAGAATGTCGCTGTGCGAGAAATATTTCAGCTACTATAAAACTTCGCGAGCTTATCCGTTATTTTAATCTTGAAAACGTGAATGGATAGTTCCATTGTTTGCTTTTGTTAGTGTGGCGGCTGCCCTGAAATTTATGTCAAGTTGATAGTTTCCTAGCTCTTATTTTATTTGATGACATATTTTGATTTGTATTTCCAGAATTATGGTTCTTGACAAAGGATTTGTGGTAGAATTCGACACACCCATTAATCTGCTGGCTCAAAAAGGAATTTTTTACAGCATGGCACAGGAGGCAGGGATTGCTTGAATCTTTTGACGGCAAAGGAAAGCGTTGAGACTCTTAAGAAATAACGACACCTAACATATAATATTTTCTTTTTTTCCAGAGGCTTTCTAATTCTTCTTTTCATTTTCTGGTGACCCGCCCAACCGACAAACCATTTCGATGACTGGTCTTTGTTAACTTTGCTGAAATAAGTTTAAGCCAAAGCTTAAGAGCAAGTCATATTATTATTAAATTGCTGTAATTTGTGGTTTGTAAGTTAGAAAAAATGTATTGCAGGGTAAAGATAGAACATCTGTTAAAAAACATGTAACACATCTGTAACATCTAAAATAAGCTATAAGCTTGTGCAAAGTGGTTCAATAAAAATTATTTTGTTATTGTCATTATCATTTTTACTGATTTTCAGGCTATTCTTTTTCCATTTTACCTGCCTGACTAACAGGGCATTGATTTTCGTTGGTTTAATAATTTCAACAACACTTCAAAATTCTTGCTATTTGGAGACCAATCCGGTTACCATTGAACTGGTTAATAATTTAATGATTATTAAATTGTTTATCAGCTTACCACT